GATCCAAAACAGTCAGTCTAATCATCATTCAGACAAAACTTTGCTTCAAGAATGAGCCACAATGCTGACGTGATCTAATCGCTAGCACACCCTGAGCACATGTGAGTTAACGTATTCCTCTTATCGGTAAGACATATCGGCATAATTTTTCACATCGGGCCGATGCCGGTATTTACATTTAAAGCCATTATCGTCCGATTCCGATATAAGTCCGATAATATCGTGCATCCCTATAATATTTCTATTAATAATAATATTAATTATTGATAAATTTTACTAATGGTTATAATATAATAATATAATATAATAACAATGCAATTATCAAAATGTTATTATTTTTTAAAGTGTGCAGCACTTTGTTTGCCAAAAAATAAAAGGAATAGTTAATTTTCATTTGTTTCCATATTAAATTGTGAATGTTTTATGCTTTATTTGATTACCACAATTTTTGCCATTAAGTCATAAATCCAGAAAAATGAAAACAATTTATGAAAAAATAACATAACTATTCAGAACAACAAAAAAAACAATAAAATATTTGGGAAATTGGGAAAAATTAAACAGAATTGGAGAGAAATTAAAAATAAAAATTATTTTTTTGTTGAATTTTTAAGGAATTGCTGTTAAATTCGTATAGGTTCCATTTATTAGACATGGTTTTTAAAAAAAATGTAATTTAATAGAATCCAGAAAAATTAAAATGGAAAAAAAAAAAAAAAAAAAAAAAAAAAGTAAGACAGAATTTCATAGGGTCCTAGTAAACGTGTGTTTGTGGGTAACGTGTCTGATTAGAGTGTGTTCGTGTTGGCACAGCATGGAGAGCGGCTATCAGAGCTGTCCTACTGAGAGGCGGGCTGTGCAGTTCTAAATACACACACATGCTATGCAAACACACACAAACACAAATGACAACATATGAATACTGTAGCTATCTACTAATAATAATAATTCCTTACATTTATATAGCGCTTTTCTGGGCACTCAAAGCACTTTACATAGAAGGGGGGAATCTCCTCAAAACACCGGTATTCGGTATGAACCGGTATACCGCCCAGCACTAATAGCACCTTTTTTAATACTCATGGTTACAAAGCTGTTTTACAGAAAATCGTGATGTTAATGTTCATAAGATCTCAATATCTTCATGAGTTAAGGCTGTTTCAAACTGAGCGCGATGCGAAAATGTGAGGCGAATCGCCGACGAACGTTGCTTTCACACCGAGCGCGAAACGATTGATCGACTTCTGCTAATTCACGCCTGCACGCTAGATGGCACAGACCAACAATGCATTTTTTCCTCATGTAGCCTATGTATCTCGTATATGGCTTTTGCATTGTTCGCTGCTCAATATACAGCATTAAATTAAGATAAATATCTTTTGGTTCTTCATTAGAAACACAAACTATCCATAATGCTTACAAGAATACATCTGAAAATATAATTAGAGGTACAAATAGCATCAAGCTTCATTTCAAAACGTATGCAACTATTAATGTTTTTGCTCAAACCCCATTTTAAACCATCATCGAGTGCTTGTAATAACTTCTGATTGTGATATAAAATGGATTTTGAATCTATAATAGGCAGACATGCACTCTTTGTATGTTTTATAATAGACTGAACGCTACCTGCTTGGATACTCTTCTTCGGTGTTTGTTTACAATGGTTTTCGAAACCTCGCCACCATTCTCACCCTTTTGTGCAAGAGCAGCTGCTCCGGGCACGTGATCTAAGCTCAAATCTGATTGGACGGCCTGTTTTATCGCAGAGCGATGGGAAAAAAAAATGTTCGCTTTTTTCGCGCCGCGAATGATCGCGCCTAGTGTGAATAGCCCCATTAGGGATCTATTGTTTCGATTCAAAAGCTTCATCGTGCCGATTTTCACGCCGATTTTCGCGTTCAGTGTGAAAAGCCCTTTATAGTCACATTTAGCAAATTAGAGCTGGGCAATACAGCAATTGACATTTTGCCAAGATACAAGCTTTGAAGCAGTATATATATTAGTGCTGTCAAATGACTAATCACGATTAATCACATCCAAAATAAAGGTTTTTGTTTATGTAGTATATGTTTTATATTTCAAGAAGTACTGTGTATATTTATTATATATAAATAAATACAGACACATACAGTATATATTTTGAAAATATTTACATGTGTTTATTCATATTTATATAATTTATATACAAATATAACATATTTTTCTTAAATATATACATGCATGTGTGTGTATTTATATTTAAATAATAAATATAAACAGTACACACATGAATGTGATTAATCGCGATTAATCATTTGACAGCACTAATATAAATAAATATATATATATATATAAAGCTCTTTATATATAAAGAGCTGGTCAATAGCATAGTTAGATCTTGCAAATGAAAAAAAAAAGTGATCAAGCAGACTTGCTGTGTAGTATATATTGATTTATGTGTATGTATGCAGATGAAATTGGATGTAATGTATATCCAACTTTATATATAGTGCGATAATACAGTTTACATTTTTGCTACAACACTGTGGTTTATTTAAAACTTGAATTTAACTTTTACAATTTATTACATTTTTACACATACAGGAACATTTTTACCCAAATACCCCAGAGCCTCCAATTTTAACATGTAGCAATGATGTAATTCTCTTTCTCTTTTCCCTCCAGCCGAATAATGGTCACCTAAGTGTGTTTTGTGAATTGATGGGAGTGACATATCAAGACATGTCTCATTGGCTGTGTCATAAGAAGCTGAAGACGGCAACTGAGACGTACATTAAGCCCATTCCCAAACTACAGGCCATAAACGCCCGTGATGCTCTCGCTAAACACATCTATGCCAAACTCTTCAACTGGATCGTGGACCATGTGAATAAAGCACTGCATTCTACGGTCAAACAGCACTCGTTCATTGGAGTCCTAGACATTTACGGGTGTGTTCATATGCACAGATACAGACTACATTTCCTCTGAAAGATCTTCAGTTTAGATTTACAGAAGTGAATTGTGATGTTTTGTTTTATTATTCCAGGTTTGAGACTTTTGAAATCAACAGTTTTGAACAGTTCTGTATTAATTATGCCAATGAGAAACTACAGCAACAGTTCAACATGGTGAGACCATCTGACCCACTCCACATGACACCAGATCTCGTCAGTTCATGTTTGACTGTTGATCATTATGAATTCTGATAGTAAATTGTGATGTATCTTCTTTTCTCCTGTCTTCTCGCATGCAGCATGTGTTTAAGTTGGAGCAGGAGGAGTATATGAAAGAGCAGATCCCCTGGACTCTCATTGATTTCTATGATAATCAGCCATGTATCAACCTCATCGAGGCCAAGATGGGCATCCTGGACCTGCTGGATGAAGAGTGCAAGGTATATCTTCACAATGTTATTGTCTTACTCTACATAGCCTTTTGCACAGATATGTGACAATTTGCAAATACAAATTTAACAATCAATTAAATATAACAACATTCACAGATTTTTTTTCAATGCAAAATTATGAGATTTTAATAGATGCATGTTTGTGAAAAATGTATGGATATACAGTGGTGTGAAAAAGTGTTGGCCCCCTTCCTGATTTCTTATTTTTTTGCATGTTTGTCACACTTTAATGTTTCAGATCATCAAACAAATTTAAATATTACACAAAGATAATGCAAGTAAATACAAAATGCAGTTTTTAAATGATGATTTCATTTATTAAGGGAAAAAAGCTGTCCAAACCTACCTGGCCCTATGTGAAAAAGTAATCATG